GGGTGGGGCGGCGCGGCGCGGCTCGGAGTCCGGGGGCAGCGGGGGCCAGCATGCGGGCGGGTGAGCGCTTTACAGCACCGGGTTGAGCGGCGCACGGCACCCGAGGGCGTGTTGCACCCAAGGGCCCCTGTAACAACACAGTCTTTCTCATGCGAGGGTCGTGGGAATGCACTCAGGCGGGACACTAATACGTCAACATCCAGGGCGTTGCAGGTGTCTGATCAGCGTCTGGCCAGGCGGGCAGGGGGGGAGTGCGGCTCAGTCTGTGGGGAGCCCGCTGCCGCGTTTGCGGCCCGCTTGCCTGCAGGCGCCGAGACAGTGTGCACTTGATGGGTAAGCACGACTCAGTGGCCAGGCAAATTGCATGGGGGCCTGGGCTTGTGCATGGCGTGTCGCACCACAGGATCTCATCACCATGTTGGGCAGCGCCCATGCCAGCAAAGCACTGCGCAGGGTGACTCAACAAGCGCCCCTTTCGACTCTTGGTTGCCTGATGGTGCATAGTCGAGTTCCCATCAAGCACGGATGCTCCAGCCTGCCGCCTTGCACATGCAGCAGGTGGGGGCCGGAAATGGCGCAGCAGCAGGCAGATCATGCGAGTCAAAGTGCAGCCACTGTAAAGTTGGGCGCTCGCCTTTGACAGTCATTTGCTCCCAGGTGTTGGCCAGCCAGCCTGCCATGTAGGCCCTGCACAGACAGTCAATCCGTCAACAAGTAGATGCTGACCGCTCAAAGTTTGTTGCATGCAGGTCGGACCCGCAGCGAATGCAACCAAACAAGATGCTGATTTTGCACCAGCATCGGCAACTCTGGCGGCCACTGGCAACCAACTGCTGATAACTGCCTTGCCCATCTGGCCCGCACTTCCAGCACGCCCTAGTCCGTACCCGTACACACCAGTGTCAAGACCATTGAAGGAAGTTGGTGACTGCACTCATGCAATTGCCGAGCTGGCAGAGGCCCACCTCACTGTCCAGGATCCGGGTGGCCGACGCTGCCGGCCGAAATCCTCAGCATAACAAGGAGCGCAAGTTCATTGCTTTGGTACCATTTAAAACTCCCATATCTCACCTCTATGCGGAAAACGCCACTCACGATTGGATGGATCTACACGGCTTTGCTTCGATGGAGGCGCGGACTGCCGGCATTACCCAGATCCAACGAGGACGCTTGACTCTGCAGCGATCGGCTAGGGCGAAGCGGTGACGGCAAAGGCGCCAGCGGCAGCAAGGAGGGGGGTTGCAGCCGCTCGCCGCGATGGCACAAATCGCCCAGCAACTGCAACCCGAACGCTTGCGGCCACCCTGCCGTGCCCACATTAACGCGAGCTGCATAGCCCACCAGCGATGGCAGAGAAGCCAGACCAAAAGCAAAAGCTTGAGCTCTACGAGCGGCTGCTGTTGTCCTGGAGAGCCCAACGGTGGAAGCGTGCACGCGTTTGTCAACCACGGTGAGATGGGGTCGGAGGCGCCCAGGGGTCATGGCAATACCCTGTAGGAGCCTTGCGGCCCCCAGAGCTGCCTCGGCCGGCCGTGCTTGCATGTGCAAACACCACAGCGCGGCGCCGCCGCAACGGACCGCGTTGCGCCTGGCTCATGCCGTACCTAGCCATGCGGCACCCCCATACTTTCATCCACAACAGCACCTCGGCACCACCACGCATGCATGCATCGCGCATGCAACCTCACCCGGAACGCATGCAACACCCCAATGACTACCCGACCAACCAGTGCTGTCCGACAACGTCCAGCTGGTCATCAGCAGGCAGGTCCTGCAGGTGCGGGGCAGGGGTGACGCCGTCGCCGGTGACATGGTCCAGCGCATGGCGCGGCAGCCACCATGAGGGAGTGCCCGCATGGCCGTGCCGGCTCGGCCCAGCGCCCATGCATGGCCATGCGCGGGCAGAGGCAGCATGCTGCGTGCTGCAGCCTCTTCCCTTAAGAAGGGGGGAACCTTGGGTTTGGGCTGTCGCGTGTGTTATGTTTCCCTTCTTAAGGGAAAACTTGGGTTTTGGCAACTGGCGACGCCCAGGTAGCCATTTTTAGCTGCTGTGGCACATCACTCGTTGGAATCTGCGGGCCGCAAGGGGAGGGGCGCAGAGGCAGGGCCCGTAGTGCGGGGGCGGCGATCACGCGGCCGCCGAGCCGGCGCTTCTGAGGGCGGCTGCGGGCAGCCGGCCCCTGCATTAGCCGCGGCCTGGCCCCGCCCTTCACCACGCGCTGCCCTTTCTGGCGCCTTTTGGAGGTGCTTCCAAGGCCCCGGTGCCCCGTCCCCCTCCCCGGCCCCCAATCCCCCAACGCCCCAAATCTCCCCCAAACAAACCCCAAGGTGTTTGCCACTGAGGTCAGCAAGCTGCCGGCGGACACCCACAAACTCGTCGCCCGTTAGTGAGCAGCATGCCCCACCCCTGATCAGCGTGGACCCCATGCCGTCCCTATGCTGGCTGCCCGCTGGGGGCTGGCGAGCGCGCGCGCCCACGCATGGCTGGAACAACCAAGCACGCGCGGCTGACATCGGCCGCCGCCATGCCATTCGCCGCCATGCCAAACGCGCCTGCGCATATCCACACCCATCCCCTTCCCCCACAGCGCGCTGGAGAAACTCGCACCGCGGCAGGTGAAAGGGGGGGTGGGAGGTGGGCGTGGCATGGGGATATGGCGGGCTCGGCTTGTCGCGACGGCATCTGCAGCCTTGACAGGCCTCCCGAGGGGACGCAAGCCCTCATATATGCTGGTGCATGACTGCGTCTGGCCGCATGCACTGCATGCACTCGCGCATGCATCTGCATGCATGTATGCATGCGTCGGAAAGCCGCGCGCCGCCGCTGCGCGCGCCCACCGTCGCGTCACAAACGGAGAGGTCGCTCACCCCGGCATCTCCCACCATCCACCCATCATGGCGCCAGGTGTCGTTTGAGGAGCAGGCCACCGTGCTGCGGGAGAACCTGGCAGAGGTTCTGGAGAAAGAGGAGGAGTGGAGCCAGGCGGCGCAGACGCTCGCCGGCATCGACCTCGATTCAGGTGGGGTGGTGGTGGTGGGGTTCTCAAGGAATCACGCGGCCCAAGCTCTCGGAGGGAGCAGGGGCTGCAGTTGGGAGAGTATTAGTCGCGACAAGCGCGCCTTAGGACAGGAGTGCCGCGCGAAGGGTGCTTTGCGCCATCTCGGCCCCAGCAGTGCTATGTGCAGCTGCCGACGACCTTTACAGCCGCATAGCGGCGCGCTTGAACCGTGCTCTGCCAACGCCCGGTACTGAACCAAGCCGCTTCGCCGCTGCGCTGCGCGCCCCACCGTGTTTTCCGCATCAACATCAACAAAAGGTGTCCGCAACGTGGACCCTGCGTACAAGCTGCGCCAGAACGTGCGCATCGCCATGCTGTACCTGGAGGATGACGACCCCATCAGCGCTGAGCAGGTGCGAGCGCATGGTTGTGTGTGTGTGTGTGTGTGTGTGTGTGTGTGTGTGTGTGTGTGTGTGTGTGTGTATGAGTGTATCTGTGAGTGTGCATGTGTGTGCAGGCATGTGTCTGCATGTTGACAATGAGTTGGTCGACATGTTACCACCCTTCTCCCTTCACCCCGGCGCGCGTGGCTCTGCACAGCTCCCTGCTGCCTCCCTGCCCCAACACACCCCCCCCCACCCCGCAGTTCATCAAGAAGGCCAGCAGCCTGATGGGTGCGGCCAAGGACGAGGTCTGGAGCTGCAGTACAAGGTGAGGGGAGGGCGGATCAGGGTTTGGGGTCCAGGGTTTAGGGGCCGCGTCTGGGTTTGGTTTGTGTGCTGAGGGAGGGAGGCGGCGTTGAGCCTTTCAGGCGGCCGAGGTTGAGGTTGAACGAGGGGGTTGCGTGGTGTGCACTTATGAATGCAGGGGGCAGGGTCGCTGCCGATCGTGCACCCAGCTGTCCCTCAGAGCTTGCGCCATCCCTGGGCACCTCAGCCTCTCCTAGTCATCTCACCCTGTGTCGACAACGCGCCCTGCCCGCGCCGCGCCGCGACGTTGCCCCTTTTCAGACATGCTCGAATAATGAACTCGAAGCGGCGGTGAGACAAGCGCTCGCAGGTCACCGTGCATGCAGCTGGCATTGCAGCCGGATGCACGCAACCGTTTGCGCCCGCTTGGCTGCCGCTTTAGTCCTCGCCCATCAGCGCACGGGCCAGAGACTCACTTGTCTTCTCACCTTTTGCCGGGCGACATAGCTTCTGGTGCCTCACCGGCGACACTCGGCTGCTGCCGCTCACTGTTGCCTTGGCCGACGCCTTGATCGGGTATGCTGCAAACGCTGTCGCCTCTTGTCTCGCCTCACAACTATGCATGACAAAGCCCCACCAACCCTCCTTCCCCCCAGCTTCCTGGAAGCTGCCAGCCGTTACTACGAGCTGTCGTCCTCGAGAGGATCCTGCGCAGGTGAGAGCGCCCCTGCAATTACCCCACCAGCCGCACCCTGTTCGCACCGCTGTTTGCGAAGAGAGAGAGAGAGACTACGCAGGCTGTAATGCCCGCGTAAGTTTAGGAAGAGGGGGCTGGCTTGCGGGGCCCGCTGTTTTCGCCTCCTCTGCCCGGCAATCCCACCACTCCGACCCTCGTCCACCCCACCTTGGAAACTCACCTCCAACCTCAACCTTGGAAGCGTGCTCTCAACCCCTCCTCTTCCGCCGCCCGAACCGGCCGCCCCAACCGCCATTCCCCCCCCAAGGGACGAGGTGGAGCTGTTTGGCGGCACCCTGAAGCCCCACCAGCGCGCGCTGCTGCCGGACAGCACCACCGTGCTGGACTGCGCGGTGATGCAGCACAACCTGCTGGCGGCCAGCAAGCTGTACAACAACATCTACGTGGAGGTGGGCTGTCTGGCGGAGGAGATTATAAAGGATTGCAAGGTCTAGGGTTACCTACTGATCAAGTTGGGGTTTAAGACGTTGAGGGTAGACTTTTGTTCAATTTGGAATTGGTCAAAGCGTTGGTTGAACCCTAGACAATGGAACGCCAAACACGATAACATGCGTTGCACGGAGGCTGACTCAGCAATCCGTTGAGGGGGTGTCCAGATCGCGCTGAGTCGAGGCTACCGCGCACCAGCGCATGCCACACTGCAAGCCCCCGCATCAACCGACTTGCGCGTAACAAACGGCCGGCGCTGGCCTCCGCACTCACCCTGCTTCCATGTCAACTCAAAAACATCCCCTTCTAGATCCTGCTCCCGCCTGACAACCCCCCTTGGACACACACACACACACACACACACACACACACGCACGCGTGCACACACAAACACACACACACACACACACACGCACGCACGCACGCACGCACGCACGCACGCACACACGCGCACACACACATACACACAAACACAAACACACACACGCACGCCCCCCCAGGAGCTTGGTGCGCTGCTGGGCGTGACACCTGAGAGGGCGGAGCAGGTGGCGGCGGACATGATGCAGGAGGGCCGCTTGCAGGGCTCCATAGATCAGGTGGGGTTCAGGCAGCGGCCGATACAGACTTTGTGAGAGCGCGTTGGGCCCATTTTGCGAGGGGTGTGAGTGTGTATGTGGGGGGGGAGGCAGGGGAAGGGTTTTCCCGGCAGGAACCAAGGGCCGCCCATGGATGTGAGTATCCCTTTGTGAATCTGCAGCTGACTGGTGAATCGAGGGCGCCGCCGCCCATGGCGCGCGACTGGATGGGGCGGAGCCGCGGCAGCCGCACGCCTCTCACCCACATTCAGGGCTGCCCAGGGCGACGCCAAACCACGAGGCCGGAGTGGCATCACACGCAATCAGCCCATGTTTCGCCCAGATACCCCGCTGCCCCGTGCCGCCAGGTGGCGTCCCTGATCCACTTTGCGGACCGCGAGGAGCCGCTGGTGCCGTGGGACGCGCGCATCAAGGCGCTCTGCTGCCGCGTGAACGACATAGTGGACGCATTCACAGAGCACCCAGAGGCGTCGGCGAACGCGCGGGCTGGCGGCGGCGGGGGCGTGGGGGGCTGACGGCGATGGCGACGAGCTGAGAGGGGCGTGGGGTGCGAGGGCGTTGCAGCCAGCGGGTGGGGCGTGGGGGAGGGGTCCGCGAGCCGCAGTAGTGCGGGATGCGGATCGGGGGCAGGGCGGCGTTGATGCGTTTGGTGGACATGCACAGTTTTTGGCTTTGAAGTGGCCGTTTTATGCGGTTGGTTCGCATCAGGGCGTGTGTGGCATAGCCCACCGGCCCTGGTGGCTGGGTTGTAAGCAGCCATGCTAGGATCTGTGGCGGATGGCAGCCGTGCCATGAGCAGCGACAGAACAGCTGATCTGCGAGGCCGGGTCAGTCGCGAGCCGCGAGCGCGCGCCTGCTGGCGACGCCACATCCGCAACACAGCATGTGACGCATGCACCCCTCGCAGCCGCCCGTCACCCCGCAGGCGGCGGCGATCTAGCTTGTGCAACCTGCTGGCGGAGTGCATCAGGCGGCGGGCCCACAGTGTGGTGAGTGGGGCTTGCAGTAGGGTGAGAGGTCTGGTGTGGTGTATGTATGATCATTGTTCCTCTGGGTGCGCTGGCAAGGCCGGGATTGGCGGCAGCCACGTCCCCTTCCCATGTGCTGGTTTGCACCTGGGCCAAATTGGTCAAACGCATCAAATTTGCAGAGCGCGCACCGTTGACCTCCGCCCTCATCAGATATTTCAATTGTTTCTTTGAATGTTTATCTGGTTTCATTTTCATTGGTGTGTTCCTGGTGGTCGCGCTCGAGCTCGCAGCGAGCCGAGCTCGCCATATACCAGTCGATCGGACCAGGGCTCTCTGCAGATGTGTTTGGAACCGTCAATTTTGTCTCTCTGAGCAGCGCTTGGTGGTGCAGAGGAGAGCTCGTCCGTCGCGGTGCGCAGTGCGCGCCAAGTGCCGCCACGCGGGCGCAACCCGTACTGCTGGCGTTGTAGATCGCCGGCGACGGCGGCCCCCGCGGCCGCGCCGCGCAGGCCCATGGCATCCGCGCAGGCAGAGAACGCGCGGCGGGCCGGCCAGCAGCTACTGGATGGTCTGGAACGCAGCGCGAGCCCCCACCAGGGCTGTCTATATGTCCGCGCCGCCTTTGCCCACGGCGGCCTCCCACTAACGCTGCTCACCTCCATGGCCGTGTGGGAGGAGGCAGAGCGGGTCGGCTACGCCGCGCTCATTGAGCTGGGCACGCCACCGCCAGGTGAGGGGCGGCGGAAGCCGCGGGGGCGCGCCGCGCGCCGAGGGCAATCGCCGTGTGCGTGCACCGGCACACGGGGCTTACATGCGTGCGTGCGCCCAGGGCCCGCCGCTGGCGCCGGCCCGTGCTCGCCGGTCCCTGCCGCGCCGCAGGTGCCGATTGCTCAGCCCTATGCTGCCGGAACCCCCCCTCTCCCAGCGCGGCCCCCCGGCGTCAAACCGTCCCAACCACCCCCAACTGCCGCGGCGTCCCGACCCCTCGCGACCGCGCAGGCACTCGGTGCACGTTCCTGGGCGATTTGCACGGAGACGTGTACAGCGCCGCCAAGGCCTTTAGGGAGTACCTGCGTGCCAGGCGCGCTGCAGAGCGGGAGGGGCGCCCGCTGCCCCTGCTCATTCTCCTCGGTGCGCACCGGGCTCGGGGCCCGGGGAATGATCTGTGTTGGTGGGGTGGGTGAGGGGTGGGGGGCTCAGAGCAGGCTGAGCCTGGCGCCTTGGGCATGCGGTGGGGTTCGGGGGCCTGATAGGGCGCCTGGGGGCGCCGCCTTGCCGGCCCGCTGCACGCGCAACGCGCGGCGCGCGGCCCGACGCCAGCCGGCGCGCCCACGGGCGGGCGTCCGGGGCTTGGAGAGCCGGCGCCCTCATACCTGCAGCCCGACTTGGACACGCATGCTTTTTGCTCGTCCTCATCCATCCATTCATCCATCCACAACCCGCCGCGCCCGTCCGCCGCGCGCTTACCGCCCACCCATTTGCACCGGCCCCCCTCCCCCCAATCTGCCGTCCAACCGCCGCCGCAGGCGACTATGTGGACAGGGGGCCCCAACAGCTGGAGGTGCTGCAGCTGCTCTTTGCCCTGGTCCTCTGCTACGGCGTCAAGCTCGCCCCCGCCCGCGGCGCCGCCGCCTCCGGCGTGGCCGCCCTCCGCGGCAACCACGAGGCGCCGATCCACGCCGGCGAGAGCCTCGCGCCCGCGCCCGGCGGGTCGCGGCGGCGCCAGCTGGCGCACGAGGTGGTCGGCCACCTCGTGGAGGGGGTGAGGGCGCGGAAGGAAGCTGAGCTGGCGGCGATGGCGGCGGTTGTCGCGCAGGACGACGCGGAGAAGCGGCGCCAGCTGGAGGAGGCGGACACGCGCGGCCTGCCGCCGCCGAGGATCGAGGGGTGGGAGAGGACAGAGGCGGGCACGTGGGCGCGGACCGTCTACTACCCAGCGATCGACGGCGGCGACTTTGACGTCCAGGCGGCGCGGGAGGCGGGCCAGGTGGCGAGGTTTTTGGCGTCTGAGAGCTGCCCCGACATGACAGAGCACGGGTGGGGCGGCAAGGCGGTCCGCGGGACGCTGCCGCGGCTCGACGAGCTGCGGGGGCGCGTGGAGGCGCGGCTGGCTGCTGGGCAGCTGCCCAACCTCAAGGACTGCCTGGCCGCCCTCTACGGTGGGTGGATGCGAGTGCGCGGGGTCACTTTCTATGTCAATTGCTCGGGCGGCGTGCCGGCGGGAGCTGCATTCGATGCTGCTTGCAGGCCGAGGATGCCGCTCAGATGCGGCGGGGCCGGTTGGGAGGCCGTCGTCGCCCAGCAATACGTGCGGGTGACGTCATACAGCCGCTGCCTTGCCCTGCAAGCCCCATGCCAAAACGGACGCTGCTGCGCACCCAACATCACCGCGCCACGCCTTGCCCTGCGCTCGCTGCCTCGCCGCTCCCTCCATATCCCGCAGGAGGCCTGGCGCACCTGCCGTACATGCTGCTGGTGCGCAGCCGTTGCCTTTTTAGCATCACGCTCCTAGCTGCCCTGTCTGGCCTGTCTCGCTTTGGGGTGTGAATCCATTCACCCGCCTCCATTCCTTAAAACAACAGGGATTCCTCTCGCGCCCCAGGGGTGCGGAATCCCGCAACCAGCCGCAGCCGCTGGTGTGCCCAGCTGCCTGGAAGCTGCCCCGCCCCGCCCCCCGCGGCTACCCCAGCGCATGCTGTTCCTGCACTGGCTTTCCCGCACACATCCACCCTTGCGACCGCGAGCCGCAGCGCTGAGGCAACCGAATCCCGCCGACTTGTCCCCCCCAAACCCCTCAATCCATGGCGCCCGCCTCAACATTCACACACTGTGCGTGCAATCTCAGGTGGACAAGGCGTTTATCGCCGGCCACGGATGCCTGCCGCCCATCGGCCCCACCCCCGGCAGCTTCCTAGACGCCCCGCGCCTGCTTGCCGCGCTGCGCCGCTGCCGGCGCCTCGCGGCGGGCGTCGCGCTCGTGAACCCGGGCGGCGAGGTCGAAGCGGAGGGGCGCCTGTTCCCGCTGCTCGACGCGCGGGTGGCCTGGAAGGGCCTAGAGCGCCAGATGCGGCAGGGCTGGCGCCTCATCCGCCGCCCAGTGCCCGCG